TGGCCCTAGTAATCCTATTACTGTGTACTGGACAATGTTTAATGGGTCTTTTTAACAATTGCCTCCAGAAGAGGGTAAGTCTCAACCCAGTTCACCAGTCTGATCTGGAATTTGACCTAGAATTTGACATTTGGGAGGTCAAAAGGGGGGGAAGCCTTGATTATTTTGCCTTTGTGTCCTGCGTTTTCATTCCACACTGTTGTACTTTTGTGAGAGGAACAACTATTAGAACTGTCCTCTACACACTGAAATCCCTCTGACCCACCAAACTCTTCTGAGATTTCACAGCCATCACCTCTATATTTCCAGCCTGATTCCTGCAGCCTTAAGGACTAGAAACACAGTTAGTGACACTGACAGAAGACAAGATGCTCAGAAGAAGGACATTGGGAACTGAGTTCAAAGCCAACTTAACTCTTGCTCAATGTGATTGGACAAGCATAGAAAGGTTTTGGCTGGGTATCCAAAGCCATCACTGTTGAAGGAACAACACAAACCATGGGTGCCCTTGCCCTTAGAAGTATTAATAGCCAATCCAGCAGGTGTAGCAAACCAACCACTCTCCAAGCAGCAGAAACCCTCCACAGGAAGGCCAGGGTGGACTCCCACTTCTGCCCAGGTCCTGCTCCTGTTTCCTCCCAAGCTTAGGAGCTAAGGCTGGGAGGAGGAAGTCTGGGCATCCGGTTTCCTGTGCCAGGCCCAGGCAACCCTGCCTCCCCAATTGCCAGCACGTGACCGGAAACCCAGCAGCTTCTGATCTCTCCCCAGCTGCTGCATTAGCAGCCCCAGGCTGAAATGGGTGAAGCACCTTTTCCCTCCAGCTGTGGGGTGCCTGAACTCCGCTTCTTCCATTCCCTCCTTGCCTTCTGGTGTGGTAAGTGCCAAGAAAGGGGCCTGGACCCCTTCTGTCAGCACAGCCCAGTTTTCCTCCAGAGTTCACTGTCCTCCACTGACCTCATTCTGTCATAGTGTCCAGGGCTCCCCTCTAGCATCCTCAGATGACCTTCCGTTATCTTCCTCTCCTTCTTCTTCAGCATTTGTGGGCAGTGGCTCTGCCGTGACAGTGACCCAGACTCCACCCTATGTCAAAGAGTTGCCGGGGATAGATGTTTCTTTCAACTGTTCTGTTGCTGATAACAGAAACTATAATTTCTACTGGTATCGCCAAGTGCCTGGAAAAACAGAGCTAGAAGCCCTTGGGTACCTCACCTATTTCGGTACAAACCTTGAAGACAGCCCAGAGAAGTGGACAAAGCGGCTGAAAGCAAAGTGGGAAGCAGGAAAGAAGAAAATGAATTTGGATCTGACAGATCTTCAGCCTGGTGACACGGGCTTCTATCTCTGTGCTGCAAAGGACACGGTGAATGAGGGAAGAACTGGGACTGGTACAAAACTAAGTATCAGAATAAGCCTCAACTGCTTTTCCTAATTTCTTCTCATGTCATCTCCATGCAGCTGTCATTCATTCAAATTCCTGAGGCCACCCTGCAAACCTCACCTCTATCTGCCATCTCCAATCATAGGCCCTCCAGATGTGCAAGACTGTAAATTGCAGGCTGGTTAGGGATGATGGTAGTTGTGCTCCAAAGCATCCAGTAGCCATCTGGGTGGGAGGGGTCCAACACCCTGAGGACACCCCAGACTGCTTAATTCAACCTCACTTGCATTGTCCCAGCATTAGCCCAGGCCTCCCCCTTTCCAAAATTGTGCTATAAGAACTCCGTGGTAAGAGATACACCCTCAATTCCCACATTACTCCAAGTCATGATGGACCGTAGTTTTCCTGCTTTGCCTTACTGTATGCTGAATTCAGCAATTGTGGGTCTTATACTTTAGTATGTTAATTATGGTTTATTCAATAAAGCATGATTAAACACACCAAGACATGTGCTCTATGACAACTCAGTCACCCAGTGTCCTTCCTGGGAGAGCCATATTTCTTTCTTGAGCACGATGCTGGACCTCTGCAGGTGGGCAAATACTTTATATCTTCCACGAAAGAAACTTAGATTCAGCCTATATAGGTCTCAGATTTCAGCTATGGAAGTTTTCTTTTAAGTCTGTGCCCAAGCTTTGCATGAACAAACCTTCTATAAGCTGAGTGTATATCAATAAGCATGTTGGCATTCTTGCTTCTCTCTTGCATTTTCTGCCAAAACGCAATGTAGTAGACTCAGCATCTCATCCTTCAAGCTCCAACCAGATAAGGCTCACTGTATTCCCTCAAGCAGTGAATAGGTTGGGCTGACAGAGAGACTCACCCCAAGTCACCCAGAAGAACTCTGTGGCTGAGGATCTTCCCATTCTCAGGCTGGACTTGGTAAAGGTTGTGCCACCTTGAAGTTCCTGGATGGAAGGAATGTGCTACTCGACACTAAAAAGATGGCAATGCTGGAGCCCAGGAAGCATCTTTAGGAAAGGCACTGCGTAGCCAGATGTGATGGAATGGAATTATGAAGGCCAGTCTCAGGAAGATAAACATTTTCTTAACTCGCCGGAGGAGCGTGGGAGCTACAAGAGGATGAGACTGGTACCTCCCTGAGGAATTCACACTGTTGTGGCTGGCCGACTTTGGGAATGGGGGTTCCGTCTGGGGAGAATCTTGCTAGAGGTTGTAGCTAATAAACATAGCTGAACTGAATTTGCATTGTCTCTTGGAGTTCCTTGGGCTAGGCCTGACACCAGGATCCCACTGCTGAGAAAAGCTGGTTGCCCTTTGGGTTTCTTTGTGTTGCGTCTCCAGGAAAGAGAGTCTTCAAGCTGGACAGATTAACACAGTCAGAGCCATTCTTCAAATATTTGCATTTAAGGACTGTCAGGGGGCTAAGGAAAGTCACCAGCACTTCACTGTTAACCTCTTCTTTGAATTATTTAAAAATATTTGAATTAAAGCCACTCTTTGTGGGGATGACTTCATTTGTGGACTATCTGAAACCTGCATGCATACCCACACACGTCCCTACCAAGGGGGAAGTCACATGACACCCGCTGAACTATCTGAACAAAATGCTAAGAAAACGGAGCCTACCCAGAATTGTTGACTTCTGTGATTGTTTTCCATGCATGATGGCATCACAAACAGCTCCAGGAAATCTAGGATCAAGTCACTATGTTGGGTGCAGAGCACACAATTGGGGTCCATGGCTACAGGCAGGAAGTCACGGAGGGATCAGGAGACCAAAAGCTACCCCAGAGAGGGGAATAGAGCAGGGAGGTGTATCAAAGCCAGTGGGATCTATCTGACCACCCAGTGGGATGAGTTGCCCTCAATCATGTAATGTCTCTACTCTCAGAGCACTTTTGAGTGACTTTGATACATTCAATTAGCTGACTTTGGCTACTTCTGAATCAAACTGTTCCCATGTCACTGACTCTCTCAGCACCAGGGAACAGTGAGGAAAGAGAACTGAGAAAGGGCTGCTCTTCATGATCAAGAGTAATTGGGGTGGTGGTGGTGGTGATTGCAAGGGTCTCATGAAAGATGGAAGTGCCATGAGATGGTGGTTCTGTTCCCCCTTCCAACTTCAATGGGCTCCAGTATTCTCACCCCACCCAAACCCTCATATTCCTCCTTGATCTCATGAACCTATCCTTATCTATTTCTCAGCCCAACACTCAACAAGTTTACAGTCATCACTTGGCATTCTGGGTTAAAGATAGCTTTTCCTGTATAAACCAACAGGGTCCTGCCACAGCAGTGACATGTATAACATTTATACAACATCACAATCTATTTGGGGAGCATGTAACTGAGACAACATACTTCTGTGTATTGCCATAGGTGTAGTTATATCCATATAAGGTCCTGCCCCTTCCCTATTCATTGAATCATAGAATAAAAGTGACCCTAGGGGTTACCTATACTGACTCCTCACTCAGTGTAGGATCCATTACAGCATTCATTCATTCATTCATTCATTCATTCATTCATTCATTCATTCATTCAATTTATATACCCACCCATCTCAGGGCAGTGACTCTGGGTAGCTAACAACAATAAAAGCATCTCTGAAAGATGACCATCCAATCTCTACTTGAAGACCTCCAGCTAAAGAGAACTCACTACTACATTTGGCAGCCTGTTCCACCGGCTGACACCTCATATAGTCAGGAAATTCCTTCTGAGGTTTGGCCTGAACCTCCTTCCTAATAGTTTTAACCTATTATTATTTAACCTCTCATCCTACCATCTGGGGAAATAGGGAATAAGCCCACTCCTTCTTCTCTTTCACTCCCTTTCAGATATTTGAAGATTACCATCATCTGTCCCCTCAATCATCTTTTCTGTAGATTAAAAAAAACTCCTTGACAATGAAGACATTGAAGTGGTGGACAGCTTCTGCCTCTTAGGATCAACCATCAACAGTAAAGGAACCAGCAGTCAAGAAACATGCCACAGACTAAGAATTCTGAAGGCCTTGGAAAAATATTCAGTTGCTAAGAGGTGACTGTACCTACAAAGTTCAGAATCATGCAAGCCATGGTATTCCCTGTGACACTCTATGGAAGCAAACGTCGGACTTCGAAGAAGCAGGATAGGAAGAGTATTGACTGCTAAAATCAGGTGAGCCCCATGGGTGACATCAGCCCACCACCCTATTGGCCACTTTGGGCTGGTGTGGGCACACACCCTCCCATCTCCCCCTGGACACGGTCTCCCCGGGCCATTCAGCAGCAAACCAGCAGTGGCAATGGGGGGACTGCAGAGAGGAGAGACATAGAGAGAGTGTTCGCCTTTGCAACCCCTGACCTGTCAGACTGCTTTGGAACATGGCTTTAGGGCTTTTCCACTCAAATACTTCTTCCTCTCAGAATTTTCCTTCCTATCT